CTAAACTATTCTGCATGAAAAGATAGAAAAGGCCACACTATAGATTAACTATCATTGTCCCCATTGCTAATCTAAAAAAAAAAAAAAAGTATTGTTTTTTGGGAACACTTAAAAGGAAAAAATTAAAACCTTTTGGGTGGCTGACATTTTCTGACACATTTTTGGAGGAAAATGTGTGTCAAGAGGAAAGCACAATGCCCTTTACAGATAAAGTCACAAGAGTCAATTACGACTAATTTGCTGCTGAGTCAATGGGTTGCGTTGTGAATTGTAACGTAACAAGGAGCGGCACACCATTAGTTCATAAAGTCAGTGATTCAAGTATGAATAGAGGCTGGTTTCAAGTAAGCTGTTTAATTACTAGTGCAAACTAGTCAAATTCCAACTGGCCTGTGTGGCTTTAAAGCATCAAAAATTGGCCCAGGTGAAATCCTAGATTGAGAAATTGCTCAGAAGAAATATTTGATACTTCGGGTTAGATTTTCAGACCTGTCTTCTGACTCAGACTTTGCTGTTGCATTAATGGGAGTTACAAGTCTAATCTGCAAGGCATCGCATTGACAATTTAGCCCTTAAACTCCATAGGAGTGCTACAGTCTACATTTTTGCATAAATATCACTGACTGAACAGACCTCACTTTGTGTCTGGTCTTTTGCAACTAATTAACAATTACTTTCTTCAGGCACTATTTTTAGAGGGGAGATGTGACTGTCAAATGGAGCAGGTGTACGTATTTCCCCAGCTCAAACGTTGTCCATATCTTATCCTGATCATCAGAGGGACATATATCGTACATTCCCGTGAAAAGAAGAGAGGCCATGTCTCTCGTACGGTTTAGGCAGCAGGACTATGATGACAACATTTGCTGCCTGAGCTTGGAAAGAGCTTCTTACTGGCAAGGTCCAATGAGGATCACTTGCATGGGATTCCTGAAGGATGCTGAAGTGTTTTAACAACAGGTTTTACGATCTATATATGTAATAAAAACTTCACTTATTATGAAAGTGCAGCTACTTCTGGGGTGAAACTTGGCAACCATTTAACATTACACAGCACTATGCTAGAGCTCAGAACTCCCAGCAGGAACCTAGAACACATATAAAGTTTTTTCTTCTGTCCTCTTTTTTGATCACTAAGCAAGAGCAACTCCTTAACAGCAGGATAAAACCAAAGGGTGGACTTTTCTTTCTGATAAATCATTCAGCAATGTTACAGCTTGCCAAAGTTCTTTGTATGGTTGATTTTGAGCTTTAGTAGCTTTCTGGGAATTCCTAGTGCCCATTTGAAATCACCACTTCAAAGTCAAATGCGATCATGTTTAAAAGCAATATGCGCAGTGACTTCATAAACATTCCTGCAGCTGTAGGTAAAACAATTACATCGAAAGATTAAAAAAACAAAAACAAAAGAAAACCCACAAGCTATCTACTAATTAAACAATTTTAAAATTGGTTAATTGTGGCCTAAAACTAGTACAAAAAGTATGTAACATGGCTGCTTAGTAAGCTAACCTCCTCTAAGTCAGAGAATACAAAAGTAATAGTTAATACATCATCTTGCCCCCTTGACTGCATCCTCCATTCCTCACTTTGCATCTGTAAGACCCCCATCAAAAACACGTCCTCTCTAAACATCAACATTGCAACCTCCAAATTATTTGCTGAAATCATTGGTAGTTGAGTGATCTGAGGCTCCCCCAGCCAATCTTTCAACAGCCTTCTGCCTTTTCTCAGCTCAGACCTCACTTGGAATTTCAGCAGCAATCCAGACTCCAGCATGTGCAGAATACTGGTGCCCACCTTCTTGCACATACAACCAAGTACAAGTACACTATCCCCCATCCTAAAACAACTTAACTGGCTCCCCATTCATTGAGACGGAATCTTTCTGGGGAAAGGACTGACATTTTCTTCTGTGTTTGTACAGCACCTAGCACAATGAGGTCCTAGGCCATGAGTGGTGCTTCTACAATAACACAAATAATCTAACTCCTTGATTTTCTTAAAAACTAGCCCTGGTGCTTAAAATCCTCTGTGATCTTTCTCCAACTTCTTAGGACTCTCTCTTATTCTCTATCCTTTTCAGCTAGCACCATTCTTCTTATCTGGGTGCTCCTCCACAGAACCTGGCTCAGTGGGTGTGATAGCCATTTTCTCTGTTGTTGCTGCCAGTTAGCCTTGCCTGCATGGGGACGCTGACCAGAACAGCTGTTCCACAAGAGCTATTCCAGAACAGCTCTCCATGTGGATTCTCTCCTTTCAGAATAAGAGCACCTTTTTCTGATTTAAATTAATACCACTTTGGAAGTAGATTAAGCTAAACTGGAAAAAGGCATTCTTCTTCCAAAATACAAGTGTCCACATGGGGAACAGCTATTGCACTTTGAATTCACACCCTATCTTAATCCAAAATAACCCTTAAGTGTAGACTAGCCCTTAGGTCTTTGTGCCTCAGACTTCTCCATTTTATTTCAAAACTTGGTTGACAACATTTTCCCTTGCTAAACTTCTCAGTATCTTTCAGCTTTTGATTTATGTAATTGTTTTTAATTCTGAAGTGTTTGGGTAGGTTGTCTGTAAAAAAAAAAAAAAAAAAAAAAAACCTACACAATAAAATTGTGAAACCAAAGCACCCTGAACTGTATTAAAGGAATGGTTTTGCAAGTTCAGGATACAATGAACACATACTCTGGTAATATCAGTAAACAACTGCAATCCTAAGGAAAAGAATTGCACACAGCTCTGTTTTTCATTAAAGATTAAGACTCATCTATTTATCAAAGAGAATATGGTCTAGTGCACAAAATCGCAACAATTTCAAGGATGTTAATAATTCTCTCCTTACAGTTAAACTTAATCTTCCATCTAGGCTTTGGTGATCCTGTACATCAATTTTCTTTAAAAAAAAAAAATCTTTCTTGTTAGACACTGTTTTGCAAAAGGAAACACCTCAGAACTACAAACTATCTCAAGTCAAACTAATGGAATAAATGTGATTAAAAAGGTTAATGTTACTGATCATTGACTATTCTCTTTGTACTTAATAATGATTAAGAACTTCTAATGCAAGCTGTTGCTTAAGTGCTTTATATACTACTCTAGAGAGAAACTGATGAGGTAATGCTAGCAGACTGTGTTTGAGAAAAGTCAAGGATACTGGGACATTCCAAAAAACTTACTGTCTCCCAAGAACATTTTTGAATTCTGACATCAACTGTCTAATAAAAATCTGAATCCAGCAGAAATCTTGTGAATATGTTCAAAAGTAATTTGATGAAAAAGTATCTCCAAGACAGATGAAGTAAGAAAAACTAGCTTTGGCCCGAAGATTGCATTTGAAGAAGTCTTTGGAAATATACCTTACTCAGCAGTAGTGTTGATCAAAGATAAAAAGCAAATCAGCTTCGAGCGGCTAATGTCAAAAAGACAATTAATGATTTCTAACCAGTAGCATTTTTTTAAAGGAATATTAAAAACAAAACATTCATTTTGAAGTTTGTTACAATCCAGACTCCTAATGAGAAACTCCGGAAGCAATAAAATCAGATCTGTTCCATCAGTGAAGTGCTCAAGAATGTTGCATCAGACACTCCTATTTCTTTGTATAACATTACTACTTCAAGTTTACATATTTAAATAGCAATTATTTCCAGACATTCCTATCCTGAAACTCTTCTTGAGATTAATTTTTTTTATACATCTAAAAAGTAGTTAACTATTAGACAACAAAAAAAAGTCCTGGCTATCAATCATGTGACCTCAAAAGTGAGTGAAAGTCCTTAAGGAGCAAGTAAACACTCATCTTTAGAATTGATTTTTAAATCAGATTGTTAACACCTGATGTATATCAGACATCAGATGAAATACTGTATTTAAACCACTGTTAAATAAAAATGAAAACCACCTCTTCTAATGTCTGAGCGGTCTGAACAATGTATTAAAAATAGTCTGCAACATTTATCTTTGATCACACAAATGTTTCTTGTGAACAGTTAAGCACAATTTAGTGATGCAATATAGGATGATTTGCACTAAGTCACGTATATTGAGACAAATTAACTGCATATTTTGTTTGTATTCATGTAGTTTTATACACCGCTTAATGCTGTGTATTGGGAGAGGCTGTGTTGGGAACATATTTGTTAGATTGCCAATAAGGGATGTTCAGATTGACTTGGGCTCTTGAAATTATACAGCATATTTGACTGAATGGGTAAATCTCCCAAGTGATGTAGTGAAATTCAGCGCTTGATTAAATATACTTTTCAATCAGTATTAAATCCCATCATGCTAATACATTCATACATTGTATTTTAAATGATTTTTTTTTTTAAACTGGGAATTACATGTATTCTTGCTCTACTTCCCCTGACATTTTAAATCAAATCTTATCTTAAATGAAGTCTGAATCATTTCCTAAGAAACACACTAGTCTGGAAAAAGACAGGTATTTTCTCAAAATAGGAACAGTTTATCCCTGAACAGCTTGCAACTTTCTCTAATGAAAAAAAAGTTCGGAATAGAGAAGATTACAATGCTATTCCCAGGTTTTCATCCTAAAATTTTATAAGGTATTTCATATAGTAAAATATATGGAATGTCTCTTCTAAGGGCCTCCACCTTTAGCTACATGTGAACACCATGTATTGCAAGTAGTGACAGTTCTAACAGGGAGTCACAATATATCATCACAGAAAGCCACCAGATTATACTGCAGATCTTCAGCTAGCAGTGTCATTAATTCATAAGAAGAACATGGTATGTACATACTACATCCATCCAAACTGTTAGGATTTCACTTGAGGTAGTTGAAACCTTTAGGATAAGAAATGACAGCTCAGATAAGATCTAAACCAGCTTTGCTGGCCACAGCTTGCACTTCTTGAGAGTAAAGCATTGCCTCCTCTAGCAGAAAGTTGACTTTCAGCATATTAGATTGGACTCCCTAGTATTTTTCCACTCAAACACTGAAGGTATTAGTCAGTTATAGAATTACTCACCCAATTAGGGACACCATCTGCTCCACTATATGTTTGCTGAATGTTATAATAACGAAAAGTTTCTGTAGGAAGGAAAACATCAGTTAGAGAAATGTTTAATCAAAAGGGAAGCAAGGACAATGGAGTACAACAACTTATGTTCCTTTCCAATTAAATGGCTTCTTCTGCACTTACAGATAATTTTCCCTCAACTTTTCTTTCAGCGTCATTGTTTTTCAATATCATCCTTTTCAATGAAAGAGGCAGAACAGATAAGTGCTAGTTACTTTTAAACAGTTATTCTATTTCCTCATACATTTAATTTCTTGCAATGTTTTTTCAGCCTGTGTTGCTAACCATTTCACATCCTCCCTAAACCTAAATTCCCAGAAGCTCAAGGTCACAACTCCATCAGTGTTTTCATGAATAAAAACCACTCATCTCTGTGCAGAAAGACAAATTTATGTCCCCATTATAAACATACATTTGGGTAGATAAAATTCAAAATTTCATGGAAGTGAAAGATAGTGAATCTTTTTGGTTCCAAGACCTTATCCCCTAGAAGGGCCATGTAAGGAACAAAGACCTACCAAGTCAGGGACAAAATAAATGAGACATGGTATCCAAATTTGTCTTTGAAAATTAGACTATTTCTCCCTTTAGAGGCAGTGACCTGGTTGAGACGATTGCCCTAGATACTGAAAGTTAAAAATTTAAAGTAAGAATGTATTTCAGTGACAGAAAGGTGACCGTAAGTAGATAAATGCCCTACATGATAAATCCAAAGCCTCATGATAATTGTATTACTCTACTTGCTACAGTTAAAGTTCTGTTAATGTAGCCATTGTTAATCCCATTTCTGTCAGATTTGATAGCTTGCCCTTTTACAGATTGTAGGTGAGATGATACATAGTGTTTATCCAATCTCCACTACAGTGTATGTATAATCTGATGAGAAGTGAATTAACTGGACTCTGAATAAGGAAATTAATAAAACTTTGATTCGATGGTCCAGATTAAAAGGGCCAATTAAATGCAACTATAAAATGGCAACGCTTATGGACCCACTGGCTTTCTCTCCAATTTTATTATAACTCTCTTCCACGACCACTGCATTTCCTAAAATTCCAATTTACAGCAAGATCACTACAAAATCCAGATTATTGCACAACCTGCTTGAAAGAAGACAATACACATAATGTAGTTCTAATAGCTAAACACATTTATGACGTGAAAGGGTTTACCAAGTAAGTGCACAAGGAACTGGGAATATTTGTTGTTCTCACTATCCAGTGTAGATCACTGGAAATTATACTGCAAAGCAATGGAGAATACCAAACTCTCTTCAAATTAATTTCACTGTACAGATTAAAAAAAATTCTTAGGAATTACTTCCCACAGATACTATTTTATTTTTAGTCTTTTCCAAGTCGGCATAAATAAATCTTAACTATACACATCTTAGTTAAATACAAAATTCCAGGGAAGGCAAAAATGGCATTGACCAATGCAAGTCTTTTCACAATAAACTCAACATCATGATTTCTGGCCCATGAATTGGCCTCCATTTTAAGACTATGCAAGTAGGATAGAAAGGCAGAAAAAATAAGGTGGAAGGAATACCCCTTTAACAGAGTTCTGGTCTGGGATGAGATCCTTTTGGTTGGGTATATTGAAGAAGTCATCTCATGCAGCCACCCACTATCATTACTTTAATGAAGTGACAAAGAATTTCAAGCTATACAACTGTGGCCAGTGCATTAGTACTGGGGATGCTGAATCAAAAGACATTTGTTCTAGTGATTTCAAAGTAGGTGACATAGTTGGGGACACATCATATATCCAACTGTAGCATCACCAATAACTATAATGTAACTGAATACAATACCAATTTATCTTGCATTGAACAGAATGGTGAGAAGCTCCTCCAGTTACTTTAAAAGCTAGCATCAAAATTTTCAGAAACGACTAGTGATTTTGGGTGCCCAACTTAACATACATTGAAAGGGCTCCATTTTCAGAAAATATTAAGTACCTGTTCTCTGAAAATCAGTCCCCTTTGAAGTGTCTCAATCACCAGTGACTTTTGAAAATAATGGCCAAGGTGTCCAAACACACGCCCCCAGGTTGGCTTCAGCAGAGACCATGCATCAGTGGGATGAAACTATTGGGATTTTCTTTAAAACTTTAACTCAAGTGAAAGTGAACATTTAAAAATACTTCCTGACTGATAAACGCTCATTCCAGTGCTCTGAAAATGAACGTGTGTGTGTGTTACCAAAAAGGTAAGTTCATTATGAGTATGAAGCCTTTTCCGTCTTGTAAAAACCCTAGATAAATAACTTGGCTAACCACCAATTTCCTGAGTGGTGTAGGCGGTGAGTTTATTAGTTTATAGCCATAGATGATTTAGTTGCCCAAGTTTTGAGTACAGTAACCCTAACAGAACCTTTATTTTAAATCTGTTGCACCAAACGAATTTCCATCACAGTGAGTCAGGAAGGGGTCATCACAGCTCACTGAAATACTGCAGAGATAATGGTGCAATTCATACTTAAAACAAATCCTCCCAGTATTTTATAAGAGGTGTAACATGTACTTGCCTGGATGTGCATTTTAATTATTGCTTTCCCAATTAGGGTTGCGCCAAAGAAGGTCCAAAAGGGAACCAGAAAGTGGCCACATGTTATTCCTGCCAGGTCAAACAGAGGATTTGGAATCTATGAAGTATAAGGGAAAGAAAAAAGAACCAGAACTCAACATTAAATTCACTTTACTTAATAATATCTCAAACTTTGAAAAATGAACTCCTCCCCCTTTCTCAAAACCATCCCAAAATCGTGCTTAAAACACACAAAAATGTTAATATTATAGCCCATAACTTAAATCGTTAAGCTTCAGCTAGACAATGTCCCAGACAATTCCACTCTGATTGCTATTCTTTTAATCTGAGGATAAAAGAGTAACAGACGTTTTTCATTTTTCCATATGAAAAGCATAGAAAACACAGCGAGCAGTTTGAGTGATATATCAAATTCTCTCCCTGACAAGCACGTTGCTCGTGTGAGTCAGTGCGCAAAATGATCTGCAATAATTTCTATCTGAAAGGCATAAAAACTCTGGTATTTATAGTCATATGTATTCTGTTAAAAAGCGAAGACATTTCTTTAAAGAACAAAAGTATTTCATTAAAAATTAAAGAATTTCTTTATTGTTAAACACTTTCCTTGAATTTGTATTTAATCTCAAGAACATTTTAGAGAAGGAATCATAATACTAAGAAAAGACCAACCAATTCCAAGACTTGATACTGAACATACAGCACACAGCATACTGCATCTGTCAGATGTGAGTAAACACACAAGGATGTTTTGCTTACAGTAGCAGTGAATTACACTGCTATTTTCCCACAGTATTTGTGCTTTCCCTGTTTTGTTACAGGAACAAATAAATATAGGCAAATTAGATACTGAGAGAGCTATAAAACTGACATTTAAGATTTCAAGTTTTAATTTATATGGTTAACATTTAACAGGTTGCTACAGACTAGTAATTCCAAGTTTAATTATAAGTTCATATGCGCACCCACCACTTTCCTAGGAAGGCAAGACACATCAAATGGTATCCATTCATGCCCATCTTTGCTTAAGCTGCATCTTGACCACACTAATGACCGTCTTACTTATAGAAAGCTACTAACTGGATTTACCTAGTCTAGAGATGTATTGCTCTCACAAAACAAGTCTACACTAGTTTATAAGGTGTTTAAAAAAAAAAATCACATTACCCAATACATTGTAACTATTACATGAAAACAAGACTGTCAATCGCAGTTAATGCAAGCAATTAACGCAAAACAAATTAACTAGATTAAAAAAAGTCACAATTAATTGCAGTCTTAATCACACTGTTAAATAATAATAGAATACCAATTTAAATTTATTATAAATATTTTTGGATGTTTTTCTACATTTTCAAATATATTGATTTCAGTTACAATACAGAATACAAAGTGTGCAGTGCTAATTTTACATTAATTTTTATTACAAATATTTAAATACTGTAAAAAAGAAACAAGAAATAATATTTTTCAATTCACCTCATACAAGTATGGTAGTGCAATCTCTATCATGAAAGTGAAGCTTACAAATGTAAAATTATTATTATTGACTTTAGTGCCTACAAGTTGAAGCATGGATGGGTATACAAATGTTTAGCCTATCTGACACACAAAAATCTTACAATGGTGCCATGCAAACGCCTGTTCTCACTTTCAGGTGACATCGTACATAAGAAGTGGGCAGCATTATCTCTTGTAAATGTAAACAAACTTGTTTGTCTTAGCAATTGGCTGAACAAGGAGGAGGACTGAGTGGACTTGTCGGCTCTAAAGTTTTACATTGTTTTGTTTTTTTGCGTGCAGTTATGTAAAAAAAAATTTACATTTGTAGATTAAAACTGCGATTAATTGTGATTATTTCTTTTAACCGTTTGACAGCCCTACACGAAAACCATAGCACAGATAGGGCAAGTTGTATCTGAACATGCATTAACTAGCAGGAACCTAGGGTTCCTCTCAACCAGCTAACACCTGTTAAAATACAGGTTGACCTGCCTACATTAGGGTGTTAAAATATGTTGCTAACATGTGCTGTTTTAACACTCCTTTTATCCTAATCTAGACATACCCAAAATGAGTATGGAGGGACGCCAGAAAAAGCTAACCACAGGATGTGAAATTCTCACTGGCCTATCATAGGGATCTCTTAGGGTTGCTTTTGCCATTCTGTTCATAAACTGGAGAGCCCTCACAGATCTAGACAAGCTATCTGGGCTCAAAGTAGTGGTAAAGGGCTAGTTAGTTGATAGGATGCCAAATAAATTGCTATTCATTGAATCCAATGGTGGGTAGTTCTTGGAGGTTAGGTAGGGATAGCCAATACCACAGGCTAGGATAATTCTGCTTTGGCCTAGTCTTCACTAGGAAAATGTGTGTGTTTCTAACATGCGTTAGCTAATGTGTTAAAATTCTAATACAGACAAGGTAATTTATAGTTTTAACAGACGTTAGCTGGTTGAGGTTTATTCTAGGTGTTAAAGCTACAGATTGTGTTGTCCATACTAGGGTTACAAGTTAACAGATTAAAAATATGCTTTTTTCCCCCCTAGTGAAGACTGTCAGACTCCCCAAGGTTTGCCCAACGGTGAGCATAGTCCTGTCCAACAACAGAACAACTTGGGAACACTGGGCAAATACTATTTATGGCCAGGTGGCCGCAGCTTCCTCAAGATAGGAACAGCAGGAATTCTGTTCAGGACAGTGGCAATGATTCATCTCAAATTGCCATTGAATAAAACGGTGGCCAATCAGCCCCGCTGGCTGAGCTTGTGAGGCTTTTGATACAAATATGGAGTTGAGCGAGTCTCTAATGTGATAATTTTGGAACGCTGCACAATGCCCCCCCCCACCCACACACACACACCTCTATCTCAACTCTGCCTGTCTTCCCAATATAGTTTACAATGTTAAGACCCTGAGTGACTTATCGCCCAGCCAGAAAACAAAAATAGTAAGAATGATGGGGAGAAAGGGAAATGCACACAGAGCCCCTTGCATGTGGCAAGGCAGGGTGAGGGGGGAGACACAGAGCCCCCGGTATGGGGAGATTCAGGGAGTCCCTGAAATAGAGAGGGATGAGAAGATGGCACACAGGGAGCCTGTGGTGGGAATGAAAGAATGCAAGGAGTCTCTGTTGTGCGCAATCATTTTGGTCAACAAAGGCAACAACGCATGCCTCCCTAGAATTGTCCAGTGTCTTCCTTGAAGGATTGCTCACGAGAACTTCGTATCATGCTGTCTTTGTAATGTTTTCATAAGCAAAATTCAAAAATTACATTTTAAAAAGGAATTCACCCCTTAGTATACACTAAAGTCATCCAGAATTTTCACATGCATGAAAACAAATACACCTCTACCCCGATACAACGCGACCCGATATAACACGAATTCAGATAGAACGTGGTAAAGCAGCGCTCCGGAGGGGCGGGGCTGCGTGCTCCGGCGGATCAAAGCAAGTTCGATATAACACGATTTCACCTAGAACGCGGTAAGATTTTTTGGCTCCCGAGAACAGCGTTATATCGGGGTAGAGGGGTAGCATACTATTCACCAGCAGCAGACTGAGCTGACAGGCTAACTCACATGTAAGATACAATGCACCTAAGTAGGTATTACTGCATCACACTAAGAAAATGACTGAACATTAAGCAAAAGCATTACTAAGTAACATCCTCCCCACATGTTTACATATTCTCCTGTTTTCCCGATATCCACATTTCACCCAGTCCAACTGCTCTGACAAGTCATCTCTCCCATTTTTAAATGGTTTTTCTCATTAAACAAAGCAGACAAATTAGTCTATTCAGTAACGTCTCACGAGATAGTGACTGCAGAATGATGAGTCAGGCCTGACAATGGTGCAGTCTAAAGGCTTACTAATTTGAGAGATTTATAGAGTATAATTCAGCGTGCTAAATCTGGACTGCCAGATACTTTTGAACGGACCCCTATATCTTTTTACTTACTTATTATTGGTGGAGTTTTTTTGTATTATTCTCTGGAGTCTGGCCCTGGACTATACCTGGATGAAGAAATGTGGACCTTGACAAAAAATAATTGACTGCTTAACAAACTGGAAGGAGTTTGCCAGTTACATGATGAGGGCCATGCCAGAAACTGTAATCAGATTGATCTTGGCAAGTAAATGTAAGGGCCCTAACTTTTACAAAGAATATTATTCGCCACCTCTAAAGTTCTGGAAGCTAATAAAGAAGCTAGGCTCACAGGGGGTGCAGAAGGATGGCAACAGGTCCCAATTGGGATATGCAATGCACCCCCTCCGAATAATCACATCTGTCAGCAACAGCAGGGAGGAAAAAAAAATCCCGTCTCCCTAACAGCTTCCAGTTTGCTTTCAGAGTGAATTTTAAGGTGCTGGATTAAAACCCTACAAGGTGTGAGACATTGCTACTTTTGCTTCCCCGTGTAAGGGCATCACCATAGCCATTAGCAGAGGTGCTTGAACCAACAGCTCCCTGATTTAGAAGACCATTTGCTCTCTCAGGCTCCTTAGGGTAGGGTGAGCTGAGGGAATGTCTTGTGGACACATTTTGGGGAATCACTGTGGGTGACTATTTTAATCTGGTTGTGTTTTGTATAGACAGTTTTATGTTTTTGGGGGATGTTTCTATTCCTGCTTCTTGTTTAAAATGTAGAAGTGCGGAGAACTATTAGCCCAGGTACGTCATAGACATCTACAGAAATGAAAACAAGGTTTTATCAGGACCCCGGGTAGTGCCTGAACCAGTCATAACAAACCAGGATACAGGTTCTTTATGACTAATCCTCCAGAAATCAGAACTGGTTCACTCACTACGGAACCAGGATAGGAGCAGCAGGCCTGCTTACTCCCTAGTCACAAGATAGTGGGCAACATGGCACGTTCTTGCATTAGACAAGACCGATACAGATTAATATAGAGTCTGCTACCTGTTATGAAGTAGAAGCTTATGGGTATTTAACTTGCTTTTAAAGATAACTTTCGTTTACTCTGCTGAAAACATTAATATGAGGCACACGGGACCATAAATCTTTCCAATTCTTAGGAAGCAGCAACATCACAGTATGATCAGGTTTCACTGTAACAAGCTTTACCATATAACTAACCACTGCATCTTGTGGATAGCAACAAGCCTAGCGCAATGGGTTCTGGTCCATGACTGCAGCTCCTACGTGCTTCCACAAATAATAGTTACCACCGCCAACACTCCATTCCCCTAACATGGAGAACAACTCTTGTTTGATGAACGTGAAGATTAAAATTGGGTTGCTAAAAACCAGACCAAGCCATGGGCAATTTAGTGTTATTTCACTGCAGGTAAGTAATAAATTCCCCACACATTATTCACATTTCTGTGACACTTCCCCGCCCCCACATTCCCCAAACTTTTTTATTGGAATGAACTTACTGAAGCACAGGCCAAAATGCCAAAGAATCCAACCTTCTGCACCAGGTTCTGGACGGCCAGTTTAGCTCGGGAGGCAAAGTCCTGTAAACAAGGAAGCAGGGCATTAATAAGGATGGAAATTAAATGAAAGCATCTCTAAGCACTATACAGCATATAATTTCATATTCTCAAACCTGTCCTCTAGGGTTTGTATTTTACAAGTGAGTAATTAGAGAGCTGTTAAGACAAGAACGCAAATTTGACAAGTCAGTGAACCAAACATTCATCATGTTTAGCCAAGTTGAAATTCAGAACATTTACAGTTACCGGTTTTTAGTTTTTCCTGCAGACATAACTCTTCCAAACTATGTAACATGGGTAAAGATTACTCCATTACAGAATAATAGTATATTTTTCCTTCCACACCCTTGAGTTGCTGCTGCCACTACTGCACTACTCCTCATACACGCAGAAGTGGTTAATCCCTGCAAGGCCATCATCAGTGTCTCACAGATGGTAGAGGGTACTTTCAGAAGGTGAGGTTAGCACACAGTATTTCCATAATACCTCATGTCTCTACCACTGTGGAAAGACACTCTCAAACCAGGGTCTCCAACAACATGTGCTCCTGGTTGCTACAACAATTGAGATTCTGAGGCCCCATCAAAGTTAATGGCAAAACTCTTATGGATGTTATTGGAGCTAGGATTTCACCCGAGATTTAAAAAGCAATGAAGAAGGTGATCATGTCAATGTTAAGCCTATAGTCCCTCTGCATCAGAGTCATTCTAACCGCATGTAGCCTACCCCCAAAATATATTTCTGTGAACTGTGCCATAATGCATTTAAATGACTAAAGTCTATAAAAATGATAGTGGTGAACAGTTCTGTTCTATCTCCCACTAATTCCTTAATCTAAATGCTTTATCACTAATAAAAAGACAAGGTGGGTGAGGTAATATCTTTTATCAGACCAACTTCTGTTGGTGAAAGAGACAAGCTTTTGAGCTACACAGAGCTCTTAAGAATGGATTCAATTAAGAATGGAATTAATTTAAGAATGCAATGGAATGGAGCTCTGTTTAGCTCAAAAGCTTGTCTCTTTCACCAACAGAAGTTGGTCCGATAAAAGATATTACCTCATCCATCCTGTCTCTAATATCCTGGAACCAACATGGCTACAATTATCACTAATAAGACTGTAAGACGGATTTTAGTCACTTAAAACACAATAGCTTTGTCATTTAATGTGCTGTTTACTTTCTGATTTTTCTGATTTTTAAAGTCAGAGAAACATTTGACATAATAAACCTTAGAGTGTCTGTCGCTTTATCAAATAGACAATAAAATGGCTATTTTAAAATCAAAGCTACTATAAAATGTAATCCCACAGTGGTAAATTAATTCTATTTAAATGTAGGAAGTAAAACAGAAACCTGCTGGAATATACAATTGTTATTCAAATTAAAACAGGTCTGTTTAAGTGGATCCATGGGCAAAGACATCTATTCAGGCTTGGAACAAACTGTACAATATAAAATGGGAATACTTTGATATTAGGGTGCTTAAAATTGGGGGAGTTCACATTAATAAAATAACCTGATTTTGTCAAAAGTAAGATATTATATATGTTTTTATATTGTTACAAAGATTGTTAGACACAATCTTCTTTCATAGCAAGTATTTTGCCTAACAATCTGATTATTAACACACACATTCACCCCGCCGGCCCTTTCATGGCTAGATATGCTAATGTAATTCAACCTATCCATTTTTAAAACTTATTCTCATTATTATAACAGAACTTTCAGAACAGTCAGCTAACACATATAAACAGCAAATATTTTTCGTGAATAACAGCAGTAAGCAAATGAATGCGATTCACACGTGCACACATTTTTGAAGTAAAAAAATTAAATATCTAAGCAACTTAATATTTATTCCACTTATTGGTCACCTTTGTTATAAAGATCTTTTCTATAACATTGCATCATTTCTCCAAACTACAGTAAAATAAAACCCATTCATTATGGCACTTTTTAACCAACACGTTTGTGGAGGATTCTTAGTAATTAATTGAATTCTTTGGGTTGGAATGGTAATTTTAGGTTTAAAGATACCTGCCTGACTGTGAAAAGCTTATTGTTCTAACCTACGTGTTTTTCTGTTTAAACACAATTATGTCACCGTTAAAATCTGTACTACAACTGTACTTAATGTGGGTTTTATACTCTGAAAAAAGTTCTCCATTTAGAAATTCTATTCTTGTAGAAAGAGTGATCATTGAAATTTTAACTACTATTTTTAGAACACTTCCAAATTAGGACTAGCAAAAATTAAAATAAATACTATAAATTAAACAAAATAGAAAAATGAAGAAGTGGGATTTTTATATCTCCGATAATGGGGCATTTAGTGTTTATGTGGATTTTTTAAAATGTGCCCATCCGATATTCTATTCTATGATACTCTAGTGGGAAATTTTGCTATATGAATAGTAATATATATATAGCATCTCATAACCCACTATCTAGATATTCTATTGACAAATAAAATCGGATAAAATAGTTATATTTAAAACTCCTTCCAATTTGTTTTCTACTTTAAGTTTACAGGCTATTGAAACCACATGAAGGTTACAAACAAGTGCCCATTCCTGCTCCTGTTTAAATCTTAAGACTCCCAGTGACTTCATTGGGACTGGGACTAAAAATTTAAATTTGGGAAAGTATCTATAAATGTTGCATATTTTTACTCTCATCTTTATGCTTTGAACTCTCTTCCCAAGAAAAAGAGACCCTGTGAAGAAGCAGATTATACTAAATTATATGGAAATGCATATTTGAGACATTTCATGGTACCATCTTGCCTTTTAGATAAATTGAGAAGCTACCGCAGGATTATCAATGCTTTCCACCATTTTATCTTCTATTTTTGCATTTATAAGAAATTATGTTAAGGGATTTTGTGCTGCCAGACTTTCTGGATAAAGCAACCAGGGAAATTCTAGGCATTAAACAAAGCAGCTTGTTATGCAATAATTACAAAAATATACCTACATTTTAGTCACCAGTTAAAAGTTGTGGCTGTAAATAACAATTGATCTATGAAGTAGGATAGCCCAAAACTTTTCATATGTCAAATACATTGCTTTTGGTTAGTCTGGGTGGCTGCTTCTCATACTAAAATTTCTTCAAAATTATTTTTGAATTGAAAACAAATATGAAACAGTTTAATTTATAACCACTTGTAAGAGAAGTGATACATGTAAGGATCTCATTTGCTCAGTACACACACAACTTCCACTAAGGTTAACATGAGTTAGGCGTGATGAGCAGAGAGGAAATGAGACCCTTTTAAAATTTCAGTATGATCACACAGCCACCAATAAAAGTCGTTAAGAGCAACACGAATTAAGGAAAAAAACAGCCATTCCAATGGCCTAATGAAGATCAACGTGGAAATACTGTTTTAAAAGCGTACCTGCTGGCAATTTCATTTATGTTGGAAAAAGCCTATTAAGGTATAGTTAAAAAAGGCAATTTTACTTCAAAAACAGAATTTCCATCTTTGTTGAAAGGATAAACTAAAGAAAACGCTGCCTTCTGCATAGGAATTTCATCAGATGTTGCTCTAGGTATTTTATAACAATACTGGATATGAGCATGACACTTTCAGTTCCTATTTTGCCAACTGTTTCACAATGTTCATGGAATTAAAGTGACATTTGTACTTTAAACCAATTAAAGTTTTTACACAGTATCGTATTAAACTAGATTTAATACATCTTTAAACTAATTTTATAAGACATTAAAATCCAGTTACTCAAACAGGTATGTGCTATATTACAACGGAAGTAGACTGCATTTAATTTTTACTATTATATGTTCATGAGTTACAATTTGAGACAAACCCTCTAGCAAAAGAGCTATGAGGTAACATTTAGCAAAACATTTATAGAACATAATTATAATATAACTAAATTACAGATAGATTTTGAGTCTATGCTAAGCAGCATAAATATAAATTAACATTTTACTTTAATTTTCCTTTTAAAAAATAAATGCTTATGCTTTAAAAGTTGTTTGTAATCTAATACAATCACTTACGATTCAAAAAGTGAACAGTCTGTCTTAAATTAAAATATTTTCTTCCAGAGAGGAACAAACATTTTCCATGTCAGAAAACGTGATTTACAAAAATTAAGGACAATTGTAAAAAAGCTAATTTTATTCTTTTTTAAAGCCTTTTTTCAGTAGTAACAGTAAAATATTCCATGTTATAGACAACTTTAGTTATTTACTTTTCATGTCAACTATTTTCAATTTAAGATTCTCTCTCTTTCTCCTGTTTTTTTCATTATGTTTAAAATAAAACTTAAAAAGACAGCACTATTTTAAGTTGAAAAAAATTAAACTAATTTTATCTGTTTATGGTCTGTACATTTTGTACTTTACTCCAAACTAAAATAAAATCACAGCTACATAAGTATATTGGATAGCAATATACAGGTTAGAATCACTATAAAGTTATGCAGTTGCACTGTTTAGCAGCTTATTTTAATGGAAACAAATGCAGAAAACTTTATTCCTTCCTCAAATTTAATTTGTCAATTTTTTTAGAACATCTGCAATAATAAAAAACCCCTCATAAGTTTCATTTCTCAGACACTACAATCATCAGTTTCACAACTTTTACCTATTTCACAATACAAGCGCACAAGAGAAAAGACTGGTGTTGGGAAAAGCTTCTTTTCCAATATATTCTTTAGTGTTTAATAAAACAATTAACTCTCATATAATTAATCTATTTCTTACTTTAAAATAAAGAAATACATAAAGTTCAACTACTTACAGGCAAAACATATTCCCCCAAAATTAAAGAATCTAGACTTTCCTCTCCTCTCTTCTCCGCTACTATGATTCATTCACCCTAACATTACAGTATTTTTTTACTCACTATGTTGCTATCAAAGAAGATTTGTTTTTTTGGTTTGGGAATAGATTTCCTGTGACTACTGCAAGACAGGCAAGGGATGGTTAAATGATTATATATTACTTCACTGGGTTAATCATCAGATCACAAGAACTGGAATGGAAATA